TCAGGGCCCCACTGAGCCCCATTTCCCCCCAGGCCCCGCAGCCTACCGGCTGCCCCCCATGCTGGGACCCCGCGTGGTGAGCAAGAGCTCGGCCCCCAACTACTCCATACCGGGACGCAGCAAAGTCGGTGCCTTCTACGAGGACCTGTGCAAGGTGAGGTGTGGGGAACCGGGGGGCCAGGTGGGACCGGGGGGGCATGTCACCGCACCCTCTGTCTGCAGACACCGGGGCCCTGCAGATACCGCGTGGTGGACGCCGACGTCTACAAGCGGCGGGCGCCGCAGTACAGCATGCTGGCACGCAACTCCCTCCCCGGGGACACCACCACCAAGCCCGGACCTGGCACCTACAGCCCCGAGCAGGTGAGGAGGTGACGGGGGTCCCGCCGGCGCGGGCAGGGCAAGGCAGGGCGAGGGTGCCGGTAGCGGGGGGCCAGGAGCCATGAGACCCCCCCGGCCCTCACCGCCGCCATCTGTCCTACCCAGCAGGGCCGGCAGCAGGGTCTGACGTTCGGGATCCGGCACTCGGACTACCTGGCTCCCCTCATCGTGGATGTGCCCGACTAGGGGGGGGGGTGTGTGGGGCGGCCATGGGGCCACGAGCAATGGAGACAACCAATGCCAAAAGATCGTCGCCTTCAGCCAGAGTCACTCTCCTGCTCTCCTCGCGTCCCACCGCGTCGCCCGGCTGGGACTGCCCCGTCCCGCTCGGCCCTGGGTTGGGTAGCACCACCCGGACACCGCGGCCATCCCAGGGGGGTCGGGGAGCACTGGCCCCCCGCGAGCTGCCCTGTGCCCTTCTGTCCTGGAGGGGACCCTGGCGAGGCCACCGGGAGGGGAAGCAGGGCTGAGCTCTGGCCCCACAGGCCCACAACTGGGGCAGTGCATGCCAGGGATGGAGGATGTGCTGCCCACATGGGTACCAGCCCTCTCCCTGCTCCAGCCCCATCCCCACCACCTGCCTGGAGCACCTGGCTGACACTTTCTGGCTGGTCATGCTATCCCATCCCATCCCACCCCATCCCATCCCATTCCATCCC